CCAATAAATGAGAGTTCATTAAACATTACATACTTTGCATATAAAGGAAAAATCTAACTACAGTCGCCAGCCTGTTAATGTCAGGTGCATTTCCTGCCATCCAACTTCCATTATACTCATCCAAAGATTACTTCCGGCGCTCCTCATGCAACTAAACTAGTAGTCATCTAAATGATGGTTTCCAAACATATTAGATAAATATTTTTTTATTCGCCTTTGCTATAGCATTTAGCCACTTTCAATATTTTTCATTTTATACTAATATACTAATTCTTTTCCATTGATTACTTGTGTCTTTTATATTTTATCTTAACGAATAAATCAGCGAATCTTTTCTCAATGAGGACAGTAATGATGAAAGTGATTCTGATAATGAAGTTGCAACTTGATTTAGTGAATCAACAAATTGAAAATATCAACAAAATATAGGTAGAAGAGGAATGGGCTTACTGTAACAGAGCTAAGAAGTAACTGACGTTTTTCAATAAGATCTTAATAGATATTAAAATATTTTTCTGTCTCGACTGGACATGTAAACAGCCCTGCATAATGTTATGATAGTTACTGACTTGCGCACCGACAGAATATACAGAACTGAGCAGGTCCGACATTTTTGATGTGTAATTTAATATTGTACTATCATAAAATTTCAATTACCAAAATATCACCAACAATTTGCTTTTTGTCTGTTTACAGTATGATATCAACACGAGAAAAATCTTTGTGTGATCAACTACCGACTGTCTAAAAATAGTCAATTCGCATCAAACGCTGTGTTTATCAAATGACTATTAATATTTTATATTGGAGACAAATAATAGTAGACTTCAGTGTGAGCTGATGACTTGCATTATTGACGTGATATCAAAAAACTCCTCACCAAATCTAATTAAACCCGCAGAAGCAAATGAAAGATACCAAAATATGTATAGTCAACAATATTTTGATCATTCTTTCAAAATACAGAAAAAACTTTAATTTGTAAAACTAGGGGTACCACTATGTTGAGCTAACAAAATCATTTGTGGTTTTGTATAGCCATTTTTGAACTCTGGCTTATCAGCCACAATTTATTTAAAATAATACTTAAATTTACAGAAGTAAATTTCTTCCCATGCACACTCGAAGAAATCCAGTCTTCTTATTAAGAAAAAATACTTTTAAAATTAGAAGTACTTTCCAAAATACTTTGAATTTTATTTCGTCATGTTCTACTTGAAATGAATACAATATTTAACTGGTTTTAATCAATCATATAATTAGAAGGGCATCAAAATGTTTAAAAATTAAGTAAAGCAATTGTAATTTTGTGTTACTTAGTTATAAAATTTATTAAAACTCTCCTCCGAAAATTCAGGTTGTTGGGTTATAATTAACCCTTGTAGCTGTGGACTGTATTAAACGCTGATTTGTAGCTGTGGACTGTATTAAACGCTGATTTGTTTGTATTTTATGTATTTGTTGCAGTTCTAATTACAATCACTGATTTGTTACTAAGTTATAATGAAAGAAGATATATTTATTTTTATTGGTTATTACATGTTGTTAAGCGGAATTTACTTTTAAAGTGAACAACTAGTTCAATTAAAACACTCCGCTATCCCCTCTACCAGGGTAGCAACCATTACGTGTAAAGCTTAATGCCCTGAAGTTTGTCACCTTCATTGCCAATATAATAAAACGAAAAGACGTCCGAACAGCAATGTTGTCGCAAATGTGAAATAAGCAAAATAAACTGATTTGGAAGATTAAGGAAGAACATCAGCGAATAGACATCGGATTCGTACTGTAGCAAATTACAAAAACCACATTGGACTAGATTTTCAGGAGAATCACTACATCCTAAATGTGACTTGGGACAAAATTATTTAATTCGTTTATAAAATGTGCTGGGATACAGAGATTGCGGAATTTTGTTCTCCTTACCGTACAAGTAAATTATATCCCCAACAAATGTATTTTTGGCAATGAAAATTTCGCAAATCGCAAGTGGCAATTTCAGTTTGGAATCATTTATGTCTGATGACAATGAGTCATGTCCGTTAGTGTTAGTAGGGAGCTGATAAGCGGAAACCGAGCTGTACACATGCATTCCGTTTAATTCGTGAAAGCCGTTGAATCTCCCATCAAGCATGACTTGTACTACCATCATCGACAGAGTTCGTTATCAATGCTCA